TGAATATCTACTACAGTTTTACATTTGTGTGGCCAGATGTGTAACTCTCTCAAAGTACATACTTTTAGAAAAACTAGAAAATTTGTGAATAATTATGTTTTACACAATGCTTTATGTTGGTTAGATGAAAAGCAAACTGCACAGAAGGACTCCTTACATCAGGTGAAATAAAAATTAATCATAAAACGGTAGTTCATCACATGTTAGGCAACAAAACCAGTTCCCTAACATCATATGACACGTGTTTCTTTATGTAAGCCTGCAATCAGTAGATGCCAATTTTGTATTTATACTTGTTATGACAATTGAACGAGTTTCTAAATTGAGGGAAGTACAGCCTTGGAGACCTTTAATGTAATGTAAAACAGACATAAACATATCTAATGGTAAAATGGAAATGAATTAGCTGATTTCAGTACCTAGTACTTCATGGTATATTGTTGATTTTTAAGAAAGTTTAAGAAAAAACATTTATAGAATCTCAGTACTATTTTATAAAGTTCACATGAGAATTAAACTGTACAGGTTTTCTGATGGAAGTCTCACATTTTCCAGCCACTGTAAAGATCTGTTTGCCAGTAGAGATATAAGGGAAATATTGTACCTACATTTCTAATATTCATATTTAAATTATGGTCAGGAACCATCTGAAGGACCACAAAGTATCTGTATAATAAATACTTTGCTGGAGCTCACCCAAAATTGTAGGATCTAGGCCTAGTGATGCACTGAATATTTAACTGAAACTAACATTTTTCATCAACCAAAGCCAAAAATAAAGTTGGGTAATCGAACTTGGTATGCTGTTCTGGCTGGTTTTGTGTTCACAGGTTAGGGCTGGACAATACTTCAATATCAATATGTATCGCGATATAATTTATTTCAATAACGGTGATATGATTTTGAAACACATTTCCGATATTTCGATATACATTACCAGTGTTTCCCATACATTGATTTATTTGTGGCGTTTGACTTCGCTGAATAAACATGAGCACTGCACGTTTCAAAACCGAAACGCGTCGCGGGTGTTTTATATGAATGTATCTCTGAAGGGAACCGACTGTCTTCAGAATCGTTTAGATGCCATTTTTATCTGATAAAGTAGCGTTCATGAGCGGAGCTGCTTGGTTTACAGCCGTTACTGGAGAAACCGCTGTTTCTACCGCTCTCACAGCGCCACCTGCTGGCAGACTATCAGTTTGCATTTTCAATAAGAAACCCATTTCCAGCAACATGCTTTTGTTGTTGCTCTATTTTTTTGTTTTCTGAAGCAACTCGGAGCATGTTTCATACTCGTTATCCTGGTTAATGCACGTTTCAATCTATAAGAATAATAAGCATACACTACCAGTCAAAGGTTTTTGAACTGCAAGATTTTTAATGTTTCTTAAAGAATTATCTTCTGCTCACCAAGCCTGCATTTATTTGATCCAAAAAGCAGTAACATTTTGAAATATTTTTACTATTTAAAATAACTGCTTTCTATTTGAATATATTTAAAAATGTAATTTATTCATGTGATCATAGCTGAATTTTTAGCATCATTAGGCCTTCTCCAGTCTTCAGTGTCACATGATCCTTCAGCAATCATTCTAATATGCTGATTTGCTGATTATCAATATTTAAAACAGTTGAGTAAATTTTTTTCAGGATTCTTTGATGAATAGAAAGATCCAAAGATCAGCATTTATCTGAAATAAAAAGCTTTTGTATCATTATACACTATACCATTCAGAAGCTCTTTTTAAAATGTATATTATATAAATTATTACTTTCATTTAGCAAGGATGTTTTAAATGGATCAAAAGTGATGATAAAGACATTTATAATGTTACAAAATATTTCTATTTCAGATAAATGCTGTTCTTCTGAACTTTCTATTCATTAAAGAAACCTGAAAAAATTCTACTCCGCTGTTTTCAACATCATAATAATAAATGTTTTTTGAGCAGCAAATCAGAATATTAGAATGATTTCTGAAGGATCATGTGACTGGAGTAATGATGCTAAAGCTCTGCTTTGAAATCACAGGAATAAATTATATATTCAAATAGAAAACAGTTATTTTAAATAGTAAAAATATTTCTAAATGTTACTGTTTTTGCTGTACTTTGGATCAAATAAATGCAGGCTTGGTGAGCAGAAGAGAATTCTTTAAAAAACATAAAAAATCTTACTGTTCAAAAACTTTTGACTGGCATGCTAGCCTATAGTTTGAAGTAAAAAAAAATATTAATAAGGAGAATCTGAGATTTATTTGACAGTGATTTCACATTTCTTGTTTGTATGAAGGCTAAATACCAATAAAAGGTGAACATTTATTTATTTGTGCCATTTTTTTCCTAAAATATTATATAGTTTTATAGGAGTAGGTTTCATAGAGTTGGCAAATACATTTTTCATAAGTTTGTAGGTACAGACATCTGTTGTGGCCGTTCTTGGCCGTTTTTATGAGTCTTTTTTAATAGTGTTCATATTGATATCGGAATTATATCGTATCGACCGAAATTAAGAAATATACCGTGATATAAATTTTGGCCATATCGTCCAGCCCTATCACAGGTGATAAATCAGTCGTACTGTAGTAAAATAAAGCCATCTCTCGATATTCAGCAAAACCAATTTTACACATTGCTGCTCTACCATCCTTACAGTGGGGTTTGTCCATGCTGATGACATGTTGTTTTAACTTATCCATTCTGTGTGCACAAAGCAGGCGCTGACACAGCCGAAACGCGTAGTTGGAGAAGCACTAACTGCTTCGGTCAAGGATTTTTGACTAATAACTTTGATTTCAGTCTTTTCCTAACACAAAGCTATCGTATGACTTCAGATTTTATGTAAAAAAACTTTTTTTGTTTTTTTTGTAAAAAACTGTTTATTACATGGCCAATATAAATTGTACTTGTATGGTAATTAGTTGTGTAAATATTACATTCCACATAAAAAAATAACAGCATTTCAGTTTGGGAGGACATGAGTGTGAGAGAGAATTGTGATTGTTAAGTGAACTGTCCCTAGATAAGAGCCTGTTTTGAACAGAATGCTTAATGTTTTTAACATTTCCCCAATGCTTTTCACGTTTTTTTGCATGAAAATAAGGCATTTTTGGCCATCTCAAAGACTTGATAAATGTCAAACAAATGTTTTCAGCTTCCATATTTTACGGCTTATTCTATTAGCTTATGCAGCTTGTCGATGCTCAAGTTCTGTTTATTAACATATTAACACACTTTATTTGATATCTTTGGTAAGAAAGGGCATGCTCTTTTGAAAATATTTAAGCAAAAAGCTTCCAACCATGTTTTTTGCTCTTTATCTTGAATGGGAGCATTTCACCTTCCCTTTTGTTCTCAACACGAAAGCGATTGCGACAGGCTGTAAAAACCATGTCTGCCAAAAACCACAGGCCAGAGTGTCTATATTAAACTCAAAAACGTTTCTGCTCTTATGCATGAATCCAGGAAAATGCTCATGGAGTAAAGATTTTCATTATGGCTTCTGGACACAAACATTTGTTTTGTCACAAATAAATCATGTTTAATTATTTTTTATGGTTAAAATTGAACCATTCACATCTGATTTCCTAATCCTGATATCTTCATGATAGGCGTGCATAGTTTACTTCTATCTTAAGGATAGATCTACATCAACAGCTAATCTCATCACTTAATCAAAGCTTACAAGAAATTACATCTCTCTGATATGCCTTCTTTCCTTCCTCTCTGTCTTGTGCCAAAGGTTTGCGAGCATCTCTGCTGCTGTCAGCATTTTTCATGGTGCTGGGCGCAGCGTTACGAAGTGTTCCCCTCAAAGACCTGCACTACAGACGCTGGTAAGGCTCTGTTGCACAATATGATGCATAATTTATTCAACAAAAACTCCACTTACCCAAACTAGCTTTCACTAAAAGTTGGTTCCTTATCACTTGCGTAATTATGCAATTCCTCAATTTCCCAATGAGATAAGTCATGAGAAGATCAGAGATTGCTTTCCAACGGTCTCACATTGCTCCAAATTATAACTGCATTTATTGCATGATGCCACACTGTGAATGAAATGCTGCTTTGGAGTGAAAGTGTATAGGCATATTAAAATTGCATGTTCAATTATGCATGTTTCTTTTTTTAACCTGTTAACTTTTAATCAGACTCTCATTAGGGCTGTCAAAATGGCTGAAAAACTAAATTAAATTTTTTTTACTTAAAGGGGGTCAAGTTTTCCTTTCTCTTTGGAGTGTTACAAGCTGATTGTGCATAGATAAGATCCCTGAAGTTGCAAAGACTAAAGTCTCAAAACCAAAGAGATATTCTTTATCAAAGTTAAGACTCTGCCACGCCCCCCTAAAACGGCTCGTGTCATATCACAGTGGAGTCAGCTGTCTTAACCGTGGCTTGTGTACTGCAAACACACCAGCACCAGCACCAGCATAATGTTTAAAATAATGTTTATAAACCTTATATAATTAATAAAGTTGCTTAAACAATTAGAAACAAAACAGCATCATGCATGTGTGTATAGTTTAATACAAAGGACTGAAAACCAATCACAAAAAAAAAAAAAGAGTATTTTCTTCATTTAAAAACTTGAGATGCAGTGGGATGGGGAAAACCGCCATAAAGTCTTGAGACATGTTTTTTTAAAAGTTGAACTTACATTAATTTTACATAGCTTTCTAAACATGCGGCTCTCTTGTGCGAGACGCGAGTGCAACGGTGATAGATGTCCCTCTAGAAAATGCGATAAATGTGCGTTCTGTGTGAAGGGCTTGGTTTCGGTTTTGACGTAAACAACGTCTTCCCCTGCATTGACTGTTCTCTTTTTCTGCAATATTTTGGATGAACAACGCAGCAGCGCCGCATCTAGTGGCTTCAACTGGATAGGCTAACAAAAGCATTAAAATGCGATGACAATTGCATCGTCGTCGCATTTTGTGCGCCACTGATAATACTGCCTGACGCACACCTAAAATTCAAATGCAACATTTTTGCATTCGAATGTGGATTTTTATTTTAAATTTGACGAATATTCAAATTTTTTTTTGACAGCCCTAACTCTCATAACGTCAGACATCTTTCTAGTGACGTATGCAGGATTTCTCCAGTAATTTCAGCTTCCATCCAGTCAACAAACGATGGATAGAACCAAGTCCTGCATTACTTTAAAACATTTTTTTATAGAATCCAGTTCACTCGGATGTACGTCACAATACAGAAAAATAACTTCTGTTGCTTTGTGACTTTAATGGTACTGTAGAAAACAATTATGCTGTAGTATTTGATGCTGTGCAGACAGTGTTGCGATCGGTCTCTTCCTAAAACATTTTCTTTAGGTTGCTGGCACAATTTATTGGTTATTTGAATATTTTTGTACTGTTTGAGGTCTAAATTTGCACATCCAAAGAAATATTGTTTTGACAAGCTACGTTTGATGACTTGAATGGCAAATATTTTATTGTATAGTTATGGCTTTCGTGATCTAGCTCTATTTGTGTGATTAGATGTACTTGTCGGCCTCTATATAGAGAGCAGGTTGGACAGTATATTAATAATACAATTTTATTATAAATGAAGTCGAAGGCTTATTTTCAGCATATTTATGCTGACTTAAAATTCACTGCAACTTATGATAAGAGAAAGTGTGTTATTCATTGGCAAAGTTACATGGTACTCTTGCAGGCTTGTACCGCTTTAAAGATGTGACCTTTTCATTTGCTTAAATACATAGTGCTGGAACAATTTAACTGACTGTGGTCTGTTTGCTTTAGATTAGGATTCTTTTACCTGAAAAATTGAATGTTCCTGTCCTCTTCTGTGCTTTGTGTCCTCTTTCCATTTTCTCTCGCTCCTTCTTATCTCTTTAAGCTGTTTTATACATGGCTAACAACCGCACATATAGAAATAACTATAACAAATTTCTCATTGCAGTTGTGAGAAAAGGAAACAAACCTTTTCTATTATTACTATTTTTGACAAAGAGCTAACTACATCAACGATGGACATCAAGGTTGTCTAAATGAAGTTGCACATAGATTTAATTAGAATGCCTATTTTTTTATGTTAGTGAAGTCAGTTGACAATATAAAACTAATATAAGACATCAGAGCATAAATCATGAGTGTAAATCATATTTTATTATTGAGGCATGAAGAAAATTGTTGGTTCATTCAGAGAACATGGGTCTGATTGTCAACTTCTATAAGTACCATATAATTCATGCAGCTTTGCATACTTACCTGTATCTATATGGTTATGTCCATCTGCATTAAAACATTATTCTACATCACCACAATTAACACATTTTTATAGCTTTTTTTTCACTTAGCATTTAAGAGCTAAAACATTGCAGTTTTTCAAACAGTGCATTAATTTTACTTTCCCCCTCGGTTTTAGATTTATTTATTTATGTTTGCTATTTGCTTATTAGATACTTGAATGAAACAAGGCTACATAGCTTAGTTTCACAGCTCCCACAATCCTAGAGCACACAGTGACACATTGACCTTCTCAGTTATATAATCTAAAATTGTGCATTTGCTTGATATATAACAGGAAAAGCTTTTTAGGACTGTTGAGAGACAGCAGAGGTTATGTTGATAGTTTTATATATTTATATATTACACCACAAGCACATTTAAACACAAAGATACATTGCAAGCAACTATTGTCTGCAGTGACTGTTAATGTAATGGCTGATTTGAACACGGGGGCACTTAATGTGTCGAGTCTATTGATTCATACGAAGTGACTCAACTCTATGTTGTGTGTTTTATATTTTAGAAGCCCAGCACAGCTTATGATGTATTGTTTAAATACATTTACACCACCAGCAGACTTTATACAATCAACTGTCTTTTTTCTATGTAAAGATCTCACATGTAAGGTTTTATAGAAATGAGCGGGTGCTAAAAGGTTCATTAGTTACTGGTGGATCGCTTAGGACTAATTCACAGACCCCATGACTCCCATAGAGTTTCACACTGCCTATGAGATGCATGTGTTGCAACTATAATAGGTTTTATGGAGAGCTACTGAAAGCCTTTGGTTAAGCTTAGGTCACAGAGGAAGTAGGAGACCTGGTGACTTCAGCTGTGAATTGAGCTACCACTAGGTGTCAGCACTTGCATTAATAATGTGTAAAAGTTTTTCATTGAAAAGGTAATGACCATTTTGCATATCATGTGATCCAGCATGTGACTGATGGTAATCATTGATATGCCACACTAGAAAGAGTCATTCTGATCTGAATATGCCATTTTGTTTAAGAGTTCACAGTGTAAGGCTAAATTGGACCCTATCAGACATCAGTTAGCTCAGTTTAGATGGCTTATCATGGAAGCGTTTTTGATAGAAGATTTTTACATTGTTAACTGAAAAGTGATGTAGTTGTTTAATATTTCAAAGTATTATTAAAATATGTATTCTTTTTATAATAAATAATGTTTATATAAAATTATATTATTTTTGTATTGTATTTTTTATTTTTATAATTTTTATATAATTTAAATAAATTATTATTTTGTAATTTTCTGCTATTTTTATTTATTTATTTTATTCTATGTAACAAAGTAATTTTGAAGAATCTTACAGCTCTTTTCTAGCTGTATATAATGCGTCAGTGTGGTTTGTTCCTCACACAATAAGTTACCTTACAGCTTCAGAAGACATATATATATATATATAAAATATAATGCATGATACATGGACTAATTTTTTGGGGTCCGACTTTGATGTAATCACTATATGAATGTAAAAGAACAGTGTACAAATTCTTCAAAATATATATTTTTTTGTGTGTGTTCTGTTGGGGAAAATAACTGCATGTGTTCAGAGCAACGTAAGAATAGTTAATAATGATGACATAATTTTCATTTTTGGGTGAACTGTTTCTGTAATCACCCCTATTCATGTGTTTTTTCATTCAGATTTTCAATTATTTTTATTAACCTAAATCTTTATTTAGAAGTTTTGGTTTGTCAGAATGACTGAGATTCAATCGTGGCAGAAAGCAGCAGCAATAACTTTTTTTTTTTTTACAATGCCGTTTAATTACAAATGACAATGGTTAGTCTCAAATCAACAGCGATTGGGGTCAGCAGATTGTGCCGTTGTGCGTTTGTCAATTTCTTGGTGGTGAGGAGTCACTTGGTTAGAACCACAGTGTTCCTTGCAAGCCAAACTGAACAGAAGCTTCAGGCATTCTTTTGATTGAATACTATTACTTTTCTCCTCTGTCAGGACACAAATATATCATGTCTTCAATGGCTGTGATTTTAACACTGGCAATGTGTTTTAAATTCTCCCAGGTCCCTCTTTTATTCTGGCATTGACGTTTAGTTTTAATTGTTTTGGCAGTACCGTTATTGTTTTGGTCAGTATAAAGCAGTCCATTTATAAAACATGTTACTTAGTCATTTTCATGGAGGTTATTACATTTGCATTCGAATCCTGTTAACCCAGCAGTTTCATAAGAAAGCAGAGAATCCTCCCTGACATTGTTCGTGCCAGATCAGAATTATCTAAGGCTAAATTACCACTCCTCCACTGCCTTTAAATTTCTCCATTCATGAGACTCATTTCTCCCTTTTCATTTCTTACTTTGATTCAGATTCGAGGTTTAAAAGTAATCAGCCCTATTCACAGATTTCTCCGATTTTTCTTACTTTTATTAGCCTAAATCTTTATTTAGAAGCTTGATGTGGTGTCAGAATGACTGAGATTCAATCATGGCAAAAAGTAGCAGCAATAAAATCCATTTTTTGCAATGCTGTTTGGTTACAAATGCCAATGGTTGTTCTCAAATCAAGAGCGATTGTGGTCGCAGCAGATTGTACCA